AAAATCATCCACAAAAAGTGATCCATCGATCGAATCATTTAAAACCTTGGATAAACTGTTGATCTTGATACTAAACAATGTGAGAGACAAAATACTGCCTTGTGGGACACCCTGATCCTGATTGTAATGATCAGACAGGGTAGATTCCACGCGGACTTGAAATTGTCTGTCAGTTAAAAAGTTCACTATAAATTGAGGCAAACGGCCTCGTAATCCGAATCCATGTAAATCTTTTAAAAATGCCATATTTCCACGTAGTGTCATATGCTTTTTCAAGATCCAAAAAGATAGACACAGCGTGTTGTTTATTAATTAGAGCATTTTTAACAGATGATTCCAAACGCACTAGGTGATCGATAGTACTTCTGTTTTTACGGAAACCACATTGTATATCTGTTATAAGGTTATTTGTTTCCAGGTACCAAACAAGTCGATTATTTATCATGCGTTCCATGGTCTTGCAAACACAGCTAGTTAGTGAAATTGGCCTATAATTGGAAGGATCAGTATAATCACGTCCAGGTTTAGAAATGGGCACAATTATAGCATCGCGCCACGACGAAGGAAATTGTCCAGATGTCCAAATGTCATCAAAAATAGATAAGAGGGTCTCTAAACATGATTCAGGTAAGTGTTTCAGGAGTTGATAATGTATACCATCAGCTCCTTAAGCAGTATCGTGAGCTTGGTCAAGAGCAGTATGAAGCTCATGTATCGAAAAGGTTTCATTGTAGTCTTCCATTGTCTGAAATGAAATTAATAGGTTTCTTTTCCTGCTGTATTTGATATTTCTGGAATTCAGGTACATAGTTAGATGAGGAAGAATGTTTGGCCAAAGTTTCTCCAAGTTTATTTGCTATGTCAGATTTATCAGTTAATAATTCATCTCCATTTTTGAGATGCTTAATGCTAGATTTAGAGCCCTTACCTTTTATTTTCTGGATCATGTTCCACACCTTTGATATCGACGCGGCGCGAATGGATGTTTGAGATATAGTTTCGCCAAGATTGGCGTTTATTTTGTTTAAAAGCACGCGCGTGCTTTGGCGCTTAAAATTTCTAAATTTGTTTAAATTGTGAACCATAGGATGGCAACGGAAATAATGTTCAGCTTTCTTCCGTGCCTTATGAGCTTGTTTGCATTCAGCGTTAAACCATGGTTTACATACATGAGGAACTGCAGAGGATTTGGGGATACACTTGTCAGCTATGTGTCTGAGCTCATCTGAAAACATTTGATGGCACTCAGGAAGACTGCGAAAAGTTCAGGCTTTGAGTTTGTTAGCACAGAAAGTTTCATATAAAGGCCAGTTAGCCTCTAGTTAAAGTTCCATCTTGATGATGGAGGAACATCAGATGGATTCACGGTTTTAGTATTGTTGGGAAATGGTCACTTCCACACAGGTCGTCGTGGACTGACCACTCAAATTCACTCAATAAGTCTGAGTCTGTAATTGATAAATTAAGGGCTGAATAAGTTCCTGTGCCAGGATGTAAATATGTCTTAGAACCGTCATTATATATATGCATAAATCATTATCTGAACAAAAAGTCTTCTAATAGTTTACCTTTAGCATTAGTAGTTGTACCAATACCCCAGAGCCGGTTGTGCCATTTAAATCTCCCCATAATGATACAAGGTTTCGGAGTTGGTCATATAAATTTTGAAGGTCAGTCTTCTGGAAAGAGTTGAAGACGGTGAGATATATAAAGATCTCATAATGTGAACGTAACATGTAACGTCAGTCGTGACGGGCAATCCGCCTGGAGACCAGTATTAAGTATAACAGGGCTATGGATAATATTCTGTTTGATAAGGATCGATGATCCTCCAGTGGCCCTGATCACCCGGAGGTGAAAAGAATGGTATGCATTGAAATGGCGTGAGGTCAAATGTATCCGGCTCTGTTTTAAATATGTCTCCTGAAGACAAATGGCTGATGGTGTGAAGTCCTGGACTAATAGCTGCAAATCACTGGGAAATTATTCCTTAGCCCCTCTGCAGTTCCACTATACAAGATTATTAGAAGACATTATCTTTGGGGATTTATTGGGGATCTACCCAAGACTTGTTTGGGTAGGGCGACAAGCCATGTGCCCTAGAATGGACGTTTTCAGATACGTCCATGGCCTCAAGAGATCCATATTTGTTGTATAACTAAATTTTATTTTCCGACCCTTTTGGGGCTCTGCCACTTAGCTTTTTAGATAAATCTGGCTTGTTACTTTTGGGTTTAGTGATATCTTGTTGAGACTTTGTTGACGACTGAGAAGATGGTTTATGATCACGGGACGACGTCTCTGACTGGATTCGAGATGTACCAGGAGGTGAGTTTCCAGTTTGTGTAGATGTAGCGGGCGAGACGGGTAAATACAGAATCTCCTAAACCTAAGTTAAGTTTGTCTGACAACTTGCAGACACTTTAGTTACTCTAGATGGTACCTCAGCCGTTGGTCTGGCAATGAAAGCATAACTGTCTGTTTGTTCTGAGCTATGGACTAGTTTCTTGGCATCTGCAAAACTAATGTTTTGTGTGAATTTTATTTTATTAATTGCCATTTGTTCTTTCCATACGGGGCAGTCCTTAGAGTAAGATGGGTGATTCCCTGCGCAGTTGTTGCATTTTTTGACATTACTGACACAATCTTCAGTTGTGTGTGTCTTTTCACTACAGTGAGCACACACAACAGACAATGTGCAAGTATTCACGCTGTGGCAAAACATTTGACACTTGAAGCACCTAAGAGGGTTTGGAATATATGTCTCAACATTGAGGTTACAATAACCTGCCTTCAGTGATTTTGGAGCATTTGGTAGAGAAAAGGAAAACAGATATGTGTTGGTTTTAATGGTTGTATCATTTTTACGTGTTGAGAAACGTCTGACATACAGTACACCCTGATCCTTCATCTCGGAGACGATATCAAGTTCCGACATGTCAGCCAGCAATCTGTCGCGGTCTCGCACGATTCCCTTGCTCGTGTTAAGTGTTTTGTGGGCCATGACGGTAACCGGAATGCCAACAAAAACATCAGTGTTCAACATGTTGGTAGGCTGTTGTTTTTTGCTGCACTCAATCAACAGCGCACCAGAACGTAATCTTTTAATGGTCTTTACCTCGCCAGCAATGCCTTGAATACCCTTAGACACAGCAAAAGGGTTTAACTTTAATGGTGTGCTATCTTTGGTGTCAATGACAACAAAACGGGGCCAGTAATCAATTTGTTTCGAAAGTCTGAGGTCGTTGTCATCAGGATCAGTTTCAAGAGGACGTTTGCTTTTTTTTGGTGGGGTTTCATAAGCCATGCAAGTGTTTAGATTTCGTCATCCTGAAAGCTCCCCACCCACCACGGAGTATCACAGCGGACAATGCTAAAAAACAAGCGGGTCTCCGAACTTGCAGCACCAAGGATACTCGGATGATATACTCAAGCAGAAAAACCAAAGTAATTTTTCCACCGGATTGGCCCATGAGCCACCGCCTTCTGGCACCAGCATCTAGGCAAATTTTCACAAATTTGAAAATCCATACATCACATAGTAGATATACAAAAACAAAACATGTCAGTATTGTTTCCAAATAAAAACAAGCCAAATAATATTAGAGCAATGAAATTTAGTGCTCAGGGCTCGGCATGACCAGCCGATTGGTTGAACTGGGCCCATTCAACCACCCGTCTAGGTGAAGTCAGGGCCGAAGTGGTGTGTTGGGCAAAGGAACACAGTTCCTGGAACCAGTGCCCTCAACCACCAGAATCCCGTCCTCCACCGACACAGGGGCGCAACCCACGGCAAACGGGTTGGTAGACCACATATACCCCCGGATCCACAACGGGGGGTCGAAGAGCGCTTAGCGTTACCCAGCACCCACCACGAGGAGGTGGCTCTTCACTGGTGCCACCTACGGATTGGTTTAACCCGACGATACCAAAACCTTTAGAACGAAGAAGGTTCCTTATATAGGACGCCCAAGTTTCTTTGCCGTTACTGTCTATATGTAGAAGCATATTGTAGGAAGTTTTCGGGAGACGGTGATGATGCATTTGTACTATCTTTAGCCACTTTTTTAAGCATCTAATTTGAGCATTAATGAAAACTGGAAATCTCCCATATTCTCCATATACCATGTCGTTAGGGGTAGACTGCTAAAAAATTCTTGCAGGCCAGTAAGTGTATCTTTTCAAGCGCTTGGAAAGGTTGGAAGCGCAATATTTTGGAACCGTACAAAAGAATAGGCTGAATTTGTACATCAAATAATTTGAAAAATACGTTGTGGGTAAGGAAACCAAAGTTGTTATAAACGGACATGAGGTATAACAGTGCTTTCTTAGCTCTGAGAGCTAAATCTGCAGCACAATGTGTCCAGTTCATAGTAAAGAAAATTTAACACCGAGGTATTTATAATGATTTACGACATTAACGGGTTTAGAAGTAAAACACCACTTTCCTTCGAAGAGAGGGGACCACCTTTTCTAAATACAACAATATTAGTCTTTTCAAGATTTACTGATAGCGACCATTCTGAAGGATATCTTTCTAGTATGTTTAGTTGGTTTTGTAACACAATAATTGAGGTAGATACTAGAATTTCATCGTCTGCAAAAAGTAATATAAATATTTCAATGATGTCAGGAAATAACTGGACACCAGGCTTACCTTGCAGCGAAATATCATTATATAACTCTTTTATGAAGAAAGAGAACAGGATAGGGCTCATAATACATCCTTGTCTTAATACATCCTTTCAGTAAAGTACAGATTCCAGTACTTTGGGGGTTGAGTTCCATCTAGGATTCTAACCCCCACACTCAGAGTCAGGCACCTAATCGCCAGCAAACAAATGCAGCAATCTAATCTACACAGCCACCACATCTTCCACTGGCTGAGTAAAGTGTAATGCCAAACAATACTTAGGTTACATACACTACTTTCTAAATGGCATTGCGCATTCATGGGCTGTAGCCCTTTGTAAATTAGCTATGAAATGTCACTACATTACCTGCAGTACAGTCCACTCCCATCCATCCATCATCACATCCACCACCTTGACAGGCTCCATTGACATGGTCACACTTGGTAGTTTTTATCTTGCAATGTCTGGAGATGCAGTACCTGGCACAGCTGGGACCATACGTTCCACCCGCACACACTGAGTAAGATATGAAAAACTGCACTTTTAGTCACTCTTGATACAATAGATGCAGTGGCAACTATTAGTTACAAAACCAATTTGGGGAAGTTTAATAGAAAAATATCAAATAAAAAGTCAAACTGACCAACAGAATGCTAGAATGCTATTTGTTGTTTCATCCCCTCTATGAGGATTTATACAACAAGAAATCTTCTCCTGCTCCGCCTCTTGGGTTCAGAATTAAACCATTCCTTCCTGCTGCCGGCATTGAGTTGGAAAATATAACTCCTTCCCGTCTTCTTTCTTCTCCTCCTTGGCAATTGGTTTGAACACAAGTCGACCTAACATTAACCGCATTTTTATTAAATCAGAAACAAACGATTGACATACAAACATGATTTTACACTATGGCCGATTTTGCTGCCAAGGCAGCACTCAACAAATGACAAGGGATAGAGTTTTCAATGTCAAAACAGTGAAGGATATTTTTAACGTCATTTACCATTTAATTATTGAATTTTTAAGAGAAATAGAATTATTAGATACATTTTGATAAATGATTTATAAATAGATAAATATTTGATTATTGGTAGTTTAGATTAGTAACGGAGATTATTAGTGGCTGTACACTCAGAAGGGGTTGAGGTATTGGAAAATTATTGTCCTCCTGAGAGGGTTCGTGAGTCCCAAAACATTCAAAGTTAATTTAAACCAACTACTATTATTAATTGTAGCATGTACGGTATTTCAATTGATGGCTAGATTATCTAAAATTGCTAATAGCTGAAGGGATGGTGTAAATCCAGCTAGGGTCCATGTAGGAAGCAAATGTACTGTAAGTCCCCATGGTCCTTAGTATGTTGATCTAACTTCAGTTGGCCTGTTTATATTGTATCGTCTTGTATAGTTAAAATGTTTTATATTTAATAACTAGTTTTTAAATTCCATCTGTGATAAACTAGTTGTTTTACTGTTTTTCGTTGACATTTTTTTCGTATAATTTACCTAAAATTATTAGGTAACTTGATATAGTCACGCAATGGCTGAAAAACTGCCGATTTAACTTATAAGTTTAACTCACTCACGCTGTGTTTGATGGACACGTGGATTTGCATGTAAGATTTGTATGTGACACCGTTCACGTCAATACAAAAACGAGATAAAGGCCGCGTGATACTCATGTGAATATCATCAATATCGATAGCTTATCCTGCCTCAAAGATGTCCCTGAAATAGACACGTACAAAGGTCTATCACTGATGAGTTAGGTTTGGTCTCTACTCTTGACGCACTTTGAAATCTCCCAAGACGGAGCATGTTCAAATGTTGTGAAATTTGAACACAAAGGCTGTGGCTCCTTTCTATTGGAAGGTGAAAGTTAGATGAGGGTCATATTTGTTCGAAATAAATGCAAACGATAACATTAACATTATATGGACATGTGCAGGAATACGGTGTGTAAAAATGTTTCCTACATCTGTACAATGACCGGTTCGTCTTAATTATAAGCCTTGAGGCAGTATACCTTTCATCCACTTTGGCAAAAGCGCCATCATCTACATGCTGCATTAACCTTTGAGGTCAATCAAGAGTTACAGGCCTTGTTACACTTGATTCCATACATGCCCACAGAACATAAGTGCAAGTTTACATATGATTTGTTATTGATATATATGTAGATTATTGGTTTTATCAAATAACAAATAATTACATTGAATGTGTAACATAATGATACATTTTGCCTCATAATGATACATTTGTAACCTCCGTAGTACCCTTGTATTCAACCATATATTTCAAAATTGACTATTGAACAATGCACCGTGATATGACACTACATTACCTGTGGAGCAGTCCGCCCCCATCCATCCGTCCTGGCATCCACCAGGAAGACAGGCTCCAGTGATACGATCACACGTGGAAGGGAGTACCTTGCAATGACTGGAGCTGCAGTCTCTGGCACAGCTTGGACCGTACTTTCCATCCACACAGACTGAGTAATACATTGAATAACAATAAGACAATAATTAGTGTTAAAGGAGATAACCCATATGCATTAAGGCCATGGCACGTTTCGCGTCACTACAAATGAAGACATTAAGCTCGTGTGATATTCATGTGAATACCATCAATATCGATAGCATTCACATACAAAATACATTTGCATTGTGTACATTGTGTACATATGTACATTTACAGATTCAGTGATTGTTTGCACAAAATGTGAGCATATCTTGCCTCAACGATGGTCACGAAACAAACACATGCAAAAGAAAATAAACTTTTCAGCTGAAAATATACAGGGACGAGTACAAGTAGAAATAGGAAAATAAATAGGACATCATTATTTACTGATGATCAGGTTTGGAAATGTGCTCTTACTAGTGGTGGTCCGATTAATTGAAATAATCGAAGACTGGTCGTAGTGACTATACGACCAAGCAATCGATCATGTTTTCTCATAATCAAACACAAACAATTCTGGAACACTTGTTTTCATTAACAATATATTTCACAAGGTTGGTTTTGTCTGTTACATTTCATAAGCACTACAAGCTCGTTCCAAGACATGATTGAATATATCTTAAAGATTCTAAGAAATGTATGTTCCTTACATACTTGTCATCCTTTTAAGATATGACATTTTGCACCAAAAAAGCCCAAAGAACTACATGTTGTAAGGGCTGTTGTTCCTTTACACCAAATGAAATCAGTTTCTGAAGTATTCTGAGTATCTATATGCACTGCCAAATTACATTTACAAAATACTAATTGCCTGCTTGACTTTATTAGAAGCCACCATTTATCAAAACGTTTTAATGTTTTATTTCACTTTCAATTGAGAACACTGTCAAAACAAATTCATTGTGGCGTAAGCGTCATTCAGAAACCGGCACCGTAAAAGTCGATAAAGCTATTCTTTCGTTGGCTAATGAAAGCTGATTGATCAATTCAAACTCGAGAATCACGAGAATCACCTTCTTCCCTACCTCCACGTACTATGGTGATTTATATGTAATAATTGCTTCACGAAGCATTTTAAACACTTATTTACACCACATGACTTTTACGTTATCCTATATTACACTTAAGATCACAAGTATATATAAGTGTGTCTACACATTTGATAAACATTATCACTTGAAACGCGTGTGATGATATTAATTGTTACACCTTTTGTTAGGGATGTCTTTGGTATAACCATTTATTGGCCCATTCTATACGCACACGGGTCATAGAGTTTCGTCCCTGGGTAAGTCATCAACACCACAAAGTTGTTATGTTAACTTAAAATAAGTTAAGTGATGCGTCATATTACTTTTAGAATATTTTCCTTCATTTGCAAAACACAAAAAATGACATTTTTTAAAGTAAGGGTACATATTCCCTTGATGCTATGTGATTCAATGATTCAATGATTCGAGGAAGAAGGTACTTCCACTAGAGCTCTAGTAAACAGCAACATTGACAAATACGTCGAACAATACTGCCGTTCGTTTTGATGGAATAGCCTGTGCACTTTAAATGATGAATCGAGAGGCGAACGACCCATGTCATCCCTTTCTCAGAGCTACATTTTACGAAACTTAACAGCGCAAGCTGTATTTTGAGTTTGCTCCTTTTGAAATTCGAATCACTGATAATGCTGTTTCAGTATCTCACTCAACACATTTTGTATTATATTAGATATGTTGCATGCATAACGTTACCGCAGATGTCCTATAATCGAGCTATATCCATTGCCATGTCACCTTCGACCCCGACCCCGACCGCGTCATACCAAAAGACGTTAAAATATGGTACTTGTTGGTCCCTGCCTGGCGCTCGGCTTTAATGGATACAACAAGGACTGGTCGGCTTTGAGTCAGTATATGGTGTCTGAGTGGGGTATTCATGCTTCACTGTGGCATGGTATCTCAGTGGGCTAGCACTATAAAGCAAGCTTAAGTCTCGGCTAGTACAAGCAGCCACACATACACATACACACGCATGCACGTCGTCATATGAGCGAAATATTCTCAAGTACGACGTAAAACCCAATTTCACCTCACCTCACCTTCGACTATAGATGATCCATCCAACCACTTTCGCGAATATCAGTATCTCTTGCAGTAAAATATACACTTTGATACCTACATTGAAAGTCCACCCCGTGGTATCTAACAAGAGTAAATGTACATTCATCGATGTGATCAGGTCTTATGGCAAAAATTCAAATATTGTACAAAATATATTGACGAGTTTGGTCATGAACCACATCACAACTCTCGGTGACTGCATTGTGTAATCTGTAGAATTAGTAATATATAACTCGCTTTATTGCAAATCACTAGAATTGTTTTCTATACATACCCCGTGGTACCAGAATAATGACCTTATTATGTTCGAGTTATCCGTGTGATACTGTTTGTATATACTTTCCAATATTAAATATAAAGGTGAGGAAAAGAAATACTTAGACAAAAGGCATGCGATATAGTTTCAGTGTAGAAACATGTATTAAAAGTAATTTCATTTTCAAATGTCACAATATTGTAAAATGGTCTGCAGTGGGATTTCTTCAAAATATCTATTACTTCACGCACAACAGAATACTTACTCCACACCTGCACTTCAGCAAAGTCTAATGCAAAACCGGCTCCATTATTACCAGTCCCTGTGTAGACAGTCAGGTAACGCCAGGTCCCAGGACAGGTCACATTCAGCACATCAGGGATGCCTATACCGTCAACACGCCCTGTTACAAGGAGGCATAGATTCCCTTCTTTGGGATCAGATGAATTTGTCTTAGATGTGTACAGGTGCACGCCATTACGTCTAAGAATGACTGAAACAAGAAGAGATATATACACAGAACGCAACGAAGGGCGCCTCAATCACTGAAATATAACCACGTATACCACGTTTGAGTGACATTAACAAACCATTGAGTCCCGTTAGTCGCCTCTTACAACGAGCATGGGTTACTGAAGATCAATACTGACCCGGATCTTCACGGGTGATCTAAATGGATATCTAAATCTGACATATCGTGACCTTGATTTGACAACTGGTGAACACTGCCGACTGTCTCGTCGCCACTACTTAATTATAGTATAGACATATTCTGCTGGCTAGAGCATGAGTGAGGTAATACTCAGCGTCACATGCTAGACCATGAAAAACTATAATAGCAAGGTGATGACATTACTTTAAATGTAAAAGCACATCTATTAAGACAAACAGAAAGAGGCTTCACTCATTGTACTCATGTGGGATATCCAACCCGGGTCTTCGGCCTTAATCATAAGGCTACCCCACCGCCCCAGATCGTAGTGAAGCGTGCCAACAATAACATAAATGGACATCTAAGTCTGACATGTCGTGACCTTGATTTGACAACTGGTGAACACTGGCGACTGTCTCGTGACTCTTACTTAATTATAGTATAGACATATTCTGCTGGCTAGAGCATAACTGAGTTTATACTCAGCACCGAATGCTAGACCATGAATAAAGTATTGGCAAGTTGTTGACATTTTTGTCGATTTAGATTACATTTACATTATCGTAAATGAAATGTTTGGCTGTAAAATGGTTATAAATTTTCTGAGAAATGGATATGCCGCAAAAGAAAATCAGCAGTTGAGAAATGTAAACGTCATAATCGTATGCTGATGGCTTATTGCATGAATTGAAAATAGAGATCAACATCGCATTTGACTACAGCACAGTGGTCGACATCAAGATGAATTTCAATGCATGTATTCAGGAAAAAGTCAGCATATGGTCTCCAGTTTGCATTTTTCTGTTTCATATGAATTACGTAAATTCGTCTATACGTACAGTCTGTTCTGAAGTACAGAATAACCCGTGCTGACTGTACTGAGGTCTGCAGATCCACCTTCCACCAGGCGTTACTTCGACCTCTCCCAGTGTAGGCTACATGACTGAAATCATCGGCCCTTGTGTCTCCATCGACAGCTTTGCTGGCGGGATGGTTATCGTCGAAGGTTGAACTCATCCACGCTTGTTTCCCCTCCGCCACGTTCGTAACAGTACCTGAAAAAAGAGAACTAAATTCCACTTACAGAATGACATAACGAATAGCTTGCATGCGTTAGCAATCGCCCTATTTTGTGTTTCAAATATCATATTTTCAGACTTCAGTGGCTTAATTTACTTTTCAGCCCACAGAACGATAGGGTTTGGAATCTGGAAATCTGGTGCGAAATCTTAAAAGGTTTTACAATGGGCCGTTCGAACTGGTCAACTGAATGTCCGCAAGAGCAAACGATTTTCCAGCGATGCGGGAACTTCGGCACAATGATGCTCTGACAAGCATCTACATGTAAATGTTTCTGATCACGTATGAGTACATGCCAAAAGCTAACATTCCTATATTAAAATTACATTTTGTCAATAGATATATGCTAAAGAAAACATGAAACATGCTACTTTTATATGTGCCAAACATTACCCACGTGGAACGAATTGTGGATGCATCTGGTTTATGGACATAAAATAAAATAGGATATTAGGCTTTAAGGTGCACAAAGTGCACCTTCCACAGTCAACAGTAGCACGATGGGGTCACTAGTATTTAACAGTGACTTTAGTCCGTTTGCTGCACCGATGCAATGGCAAATACATATACATTCGAAAGCAACAGATCGTTTTTAAACACATGTAAGTGTCCATACCAAATCGTCTCTATATTTGCATACAGTAGTATTGTAGCAGTTGTGAAAGTTCAGGGATTGGTCCTTTGAATTTCATGTGTTTGATTTACTCCTACTTGTATACATTTTCCAGTGGTATTTCTAGGAATGCCAATATGTTGCGGTTGAGGTCGTTTTAATATAGTAGTAGATATAATGACAGTCCGAGATCAAGTCCAACAAAAGCCTCTGCAAAGCTTTATTTCACGAATAAAGCTTTTGTCAGGCCCTTAGATCTCGTCCCAGTATATCCCCCAGTAACCCCCAGTTAACTTCCCGAACACACGTGGCA